GCAGTAGATCGGATTTTGAGTCTCGTAGCATCTGATTTTGAGCCTCGAACAACAGCTTCGTTTTTGTGGATTCTCCTCTTTCTTCAATTGATTTGTTGTTGCTCTTGTTACTATTGTTGCTCCGTGTTTGGCACTTGTTGTGTAGCCAATTTGGAGAACTTTGTAACCCTTTTATTGTTATAGTGGAGCTTTTTGGATCTTTGTGATCTCGTGGTTTTTACCTTCGATTTGAAGGGTTTTCCACGTTAAAATTTGGTGTTCTTTATCTTCTTTATTTTCGGGTTTGCCTCTTCCTCGACATAACAGCTCTAAGGAGGCAATGAGAATTCTGGAACTTACTACAAATTACGTTTATGTCCCCTAATCGTACCAACATTTATTTTATTAATTAATTTAATTATGTGTTTTCACATGTACAACACTTGTAGCTAAGTTTTTCAATACTCATATAACACTCTTCCCCCTTGGGACGTTTCGAAATGTTTGAAACTATTTTATTTCTATACAACTTTCAAAACGTTTAAGAATTTAATTTCATTAAACTATTCATGCTTTGACTTTTTGTGATTTTTGCTCTCTTTTAACCTAGTACTTTAATATTCTTTTCCATTATAACTAACAATATTACTCCAAATAAAATAAATTAATTGTTAAGATTTTGCCATAAATTTCAAATTTATTGAGATTCTCTTTCCTGAAGGAAGGGAAAAAGACTCATAAACAGAATAAATTTACTTCATGCCCTATATCCTTTTCTTGGTGGAAAAATCTTGGATATTTATAAAAGAATCGTTATTTCTCAATATCCACAGGTAGAGCTGTCGAAAAAAAAAACGGGCTACCCCAGCCCAAGCCTCGTGGGCTTTTAAATTTGGTGGGCTAGGGCGGGCCGATCCTCCATCTATATGGGCCTTAAAATGATCATCCCAGCCCCGCTCTAAGAGGGCCACGGGCTAGGGCGGGCCGGCCCTTCAATTTTTTTAGGAAAAAATATTTCTTTAAATCTTTAGATATTTTTTCGTGACATAATCTATTAATCATATGAACGAACTCTGTTTGTTTAGAGTGTACAAGAATCTTGATATTTGACAAGAAATCTTGTAATTGAAATGCAAATTCTCTATATCTCTAGCTCTTCTTTTTTTAACGTTACATGAATATTTTTTAGTACTTTTCTTTCACTTTCCTTAGGTTCACGAATTGCTTCAATAAGTTTATATGTTAAGGTTTTATAATTTACGTTTAATATTATTTGTTGATTCAATCATTATAGTCCATAAAATTTTTAAAATTCATGAAATTTGTTAGTGTTGTCAATTTTCTTTTTGTATTAAAACTTGACCTTTTACTATACTGAAGAGCAATTTAATAATTAATAATATATTAAATTAACCAAACTAATCATTGGCCACTTAAAGTAGTATTTTCTTTTGAAAAAAGTTATTATTGGCCACTTAAAACTTTTCTCGTTCGTTGTTAACTAAGCAAAAGAAAAACTAATCTTGTCATACCACATGTACATCAAAATATAAATTTCAGTTGATATGGAAGGATAAATGAGAAATCTAAGGTTGAAAAATAGGGATTATAGTTAATATTTTTTTAGGTTTTACTTTTTTTAAATATTTAAATTTGAATTTAATTAATTTTTGGCCCACGGGCCAGCCTCGGTCAAGCCTCAAGGGCCAGCGGGCTGACTTGGGCCGGGCTTATAAGCCTCACTTTTAAATGAGCTAAAAAAATCCCAACCCAGCCATACCCAAGTAGCGGGCTGGGTTGGGCTGGCTTCACGGGCCAAGCCATTTTGACGGTTCTATCCACAGAGTAGTCTTAATTAAGAGAATCACATTTAGGGGGAGATTTATATTTCATTTTTTTTATATTAGTATTAGTTTCTAATCCTCTCTCTTATTGACCAAACCACAAATAATAGTCTTTTTTAATATGTCTAATTTATCGTCATCAAAGTTTTTGTTCGTAACTTTCGCATGCATTGTATCATTGCGATCCCAACATTAATATTATAGATTACGTGCCCAGTCAAACACTATTTACGCGTTATGTATCAATGAGAGAGGTTGTTTGAGTTGTTAATAAAGTAGATAGTGCCAAAATTGGTTTTCAAATCATGAAATGCAGTTAATGATGTTCATTCTTCAAGATGTATATCTTGATTAGGATTTAGTGTCACCTCAAATATATCTTGATGTTCATTCTTCAAGATGTATATCTTGATTAAGATTTAGTGTCATCTCTTCTTGTTCTTTGTTCATACATGTTATTATCTCTGTTTGGGCTGATTTATATGATCTCTGAGAGACCGAGAGACTGGAGAGGTTAGTGACTGAGATAGGGAATGAGTGCCGAGCTGTGAGCTATGTGTGTATATATGGATCAGGTTGCGCGCCGCAACGAGCCTGAGGGCTGTATGTATATGGATCGGGTTGCACACCGCAATGAGCCTTAGGGCTATATATATATATATATATATATATATATATATATATATATATATATATATATATAGGATCGGGCTGCACGCCGCAGCGATATAGCGCTTGAGCTGAAAGAGCCCCTCCGGAGTCTGTACACCCCTAGTGAGCGTAAGTACCTATTGAGTGTGAGTACTGAGGGATGAGAGCCGAGTGATTGAGCTGTTGAGATAAGTTGAGTGACTGTTGCCCTGAGAGGTTGTACGTGCTTTCATTTGTTGTTGCACTTAGCTGCTATATATCATTGTTGATAAATTTCTGAAAGATGTTATATCCAGTTTACTTCAACTTGAAAATGTATAAAACTGATGTGACTGAGACTGTCGGATTTCAAAGCATGCCTATTCTTTACTGAAATTACTGAAAACGAATTATAACTGTGTAGCTCGTCACTATCTTCGGTTCCTTATTTATTATTTTACTTACTGAGTTGGATGTACTCATGTCACTCCCTTGTGCAGATCCAGGTGTTTCCGGACACGGTGGACGTTGAACTCGTGCGTGGTTGAGTATCGGAGATTTGCGAGGTAGCTGCCGGCGTTCGCAGTCCTTGTCTCTCCTTCCTTCTTTTCTTTTCTTTCCTGCATTGGTATTTTGACACAGACTCTTGTAGACACTGTTTCTAGACTGGTTATTTAGATGCTCATGACTTAGTGACACCGCGATGTCGGGCTATTTTCCGCACTTAGTTTTGGGTTTACCCTGTTTTTATGAAAAACTCCGGTTTTTGTAAATGTCTTAATTCATTTCGGTTAAATGTTGAAAGTGTTTTGAAAATGTCGGCTTGTCTAGTACTAAGATATGTCATCACGACGTGTTAGGTTTAATTTTTTTAATTTAATGTTTTTCTCCGTCTTAGTTTTTCCGTTATAATTTGAATTTGGCGGTTTGCGTAAATGGCCGCTTTATAAAACAATCATTTTCAGTTGCAGCCTTACCTAAAGAGTTGCAACTCTTTAATATTATAAATACATGACCTCTCCCTCGGATTTTCCTTATGGAAATTCTGATTTCTCTTTCTTCCTTCTGCATTGTTTTTAACAGAAAGAAAGCAGTAAGTGTGATTTGCAACTAATCTTTGAGTTCGTTGGTCACTGGGGTTTGAAGTACTGCTACACCACTAAGGATAATCCGTTCTATCCTGGAAAAAGATAATTCTAAACCTCGGGTACTAAGAGGGGATTAAGTTCCTTAAGGAAACATTATGAATTCAAAGGGCTCGGATTAATTATGTTCTTCTACATTTCTGGTTTTAACATTGTTTCTATTTTTGAATATATTTTCTAATACAGAGTACTAACATCCACACGTATTCTTTTCCATTTTCACTAACATATTCATATAAATCAAATTAAATCATATATTATGTGCCCAGTCAAATCCCGTTGCGTAAACGAAATAGTAGTTAAACTTGTGGGTAGTACCAAAGTTGTTAAGGAAGCTTGATTTTTATTGAACGTTCTTTTGTTTGATTGTTAGAAAAAATAAGAAATTATGAATGAAAGCTTCAACTAAGTATTATCGCATTTGTGGGTCATATTGACAAATTTGCTCACTGCTTCACTTAAAATTAAAGGATAAAAAATATGTGATCAGAGAGAAATATGAAAAGGAAACTTTGAACTTATGTTGTACCACAAAAATTATGGAATATACAATCTTATTAGTATGATTTTCTTATAGTTCGTTCACAAAAAAAAAGTAACATATAGGATATGCTTGATACGAAGGAATTCCAAAAAATAATTCATTTTTTTTAGTAATTAATTATCTTTTGTATTAGTCACCAAAGATCAGACTTTACAATTCCATAGTCAAGCACAAAACTCAGCTGACTATCTCAACGAAAAAAACAAAAAAAAAAAAAAACTGTAGGCAAAACTACTAAGCTAAGAACAAAACTACTAAACTACTCATCTAACCAAAACTGTTGTATTTGGTTCCTAGCTCGAGGTACTACTCTAACATTACAAATGTAAGCTATGTCTCTTGCTAATACATCAATGTTACGATATCTTTGCTCAAAAGTACGTGTGTTCCTTTAAATCCATAATGCTTATGCAGTTTCAGCATACACCGTCCTGAAAATACTGGCCTTGTTTGACTTCCCTTTGCCTTTCTTGATAATCCATTGGAGATGTTGATCCCAGTTGAGAGTGGTCATTTGATCTTCTTGAATCCATCTTATTACTTTCTTCCACAAAGTTGTTGCATAAGAGCATTGCACAAACTGGTGTTCTCTTGTTTCAACTTGGCCTAGACATTTAGTCCCCAGTGAGCTAGTCTGTCTTTAGTAGGCAATCCTCCATGTAGCATCAACCATAAACTGAATATTGCCTTTGGTCGAGCAGAGTTCTGATATAGTAGACACTTCCAGCTTATTTTTGGCAAGTCTCCCAATAGTTGTAGGTATATTTGCCTGATACTACTAATATGACCATTTGGATTCTGAGCTTGTAGCAAAATACTTCTTGAATCAATTATTCTTCTTACCATCCAACTAGCCTGTTATGGAATTGGCATGTGCTGTAACTGTTGCTGCTTGATGTAGTAGGCATTAATCCATCGAATCCATAGTTTATCCTCTTTATGAGCTAAACCCCAGTATATCTTAGCAATTGCAGCCTTGTTCCACAGAGATAAATTTATGAGATTCAAGCCATCAACAGATTTAGGAGTACACATCTTCTCCCAAGATACAAAAGCCTTCTTAGTAATAGTATTACTGCCTGACCAAACATAACTTCTGCAAAGAGCCTCAATCATCTTCAGAACCTTAACAGGTAAAATGAACAACTGAGCCTAATAGGCTTGGATGCCAAATATAACAGATTGCAAAAGTTGTACACGACCAGCATAAGACAGTTTTCTGGTGGTCCATGAAGAGATCTTGGCTGTGATTCTTTCAATCAAATGCTACCACTAAATAAGTGTTATTTTCTTAATGGAAAGGGGGATGCCTAAGTATTTGAAAGGTAGGGCTCCTTTCTCAAATCCTAGATGATCCAGGATCTGTTTCCTCACTTCTAGCTTTACTCCACCAAAGTAAACTAAACTTTTGCCTAAGTTGGCTTGTAATCCTGAAGCCTCAGAGAATTGAGAAAAATAGTTGTACATTGTAACTATTGAAGACAGATCACCTTTGGCAAACAATAGCAGGTCATCAGCAAAACTCATATGAGTTATACCTAACTTCCTGCATCTGGGATGGTATTGAAAGGTAGTCTCCTTCTTCAGTTCATTGAGAGATCTACTCAAGTATTCCATCACAATAGCAAATACGAAAGGAGAGATAGGGTCTCCTTGCCTTACAAGGACAGTATAGTTAACTGTTTTGATGCATTCCATTATTCATTTAATGAATCTATCAGGGAAACCAATCTTTTCCATCACTTGTTGTAAAAAGATCCACTCTACTGAATCATATGCTTTTTGGAGATCAATCTTCACCATACACCTGGGGGATATTTGAGCTCTAGTATAGGATTTGACTAGTTCATGAGCCAAAATTACATTGTCTTCTACCAGGGATAAAGCCAGCTTGAGTTCACAGATTATGCTTGGCGTGACTTTTTGTAATCTGGAAGATATTTTGGAAATCATCTTGTATAGGACTGTACAACAGGCTATTGGCCTGTACTCCTTGACTGTGGTAGGCTTGGACAATTTAGGTACTAGAGTTATGGTGGAACAATTTACTGGTTTATAGATCTTACCAGAGGAGAAGAACTCTTTAACAGTTTCTTTAACTTGAGTGTTGATGATGCCCCAAACCTTCTTAAAGAACACTGCATTAAAACCATCAATCCCTGGTGCTTTATCATCCCCAATGGCTTTAAGACTCTCAATAACTCCTTGGTCTGTTACATCTGCACATAACTCCACTCTTTGTTAATGAGACAGAACAGGACCATTTTTCCTGTATGGTCTATTTATGGCAGGGAGTGAATTGGCTGCTGAACCCATTAATGTCTTGTAAAAATCCATAATCTCCTTTTTAATAGCTGCAGGATCAGTCAACTTGTCTCGTAGAACTGTTGTAATTTCTGTAATCTATTCTTTTGTGCTCTATCTTTCGTAGCTGCTGTAAAGTACTTGGTGTTGGAATCACCCAATTTTATCCACTTTGCTCTGGCCTTCTGCTGCAATACACTCCTCTATTAGAGACCACTTCTCAAGGTTGAGTAGTGTTTGTTTCTCTATATCTAGCAAGGCATCATATAGGAGTTTGCAAGCTGCTCTTGGATGTTCTTCAGTTCTAGTCTGGCCTTTTCAATTCTTTTAGTAATGCCTTTGAAATCCCTAGCATTCAAAGCCTTCAGAGGAACCTTCAATGCTTTTAACTTTATCCACACTGATTTCAAAGATCCATGAGTACTTGGAGAATTCCAGATGTTTGCCACTATCTGATAGAAGTCTTCATGAGTAGTCCATATGTTGAAAAATCTAAAAGGTACTCTTCCTGTCCAAGATGAAGATGCTAATGTTAGTAACATAGGGACATGATCTGAAATTTGAGGTAGATCACAGACAGTTTCCACATGGCTCCACGACATCATCCACTCATAATTGCCAAAGATTCTGTCCAGTCTGCTACTAACCCTATCTGCACCAGGCTGTTTACTTGTCCATACATAATATTCCCCCTTCCAAGGTAATTCTGTTAATGCTGCTTGTTGAAAGCAATGACCAAATTCTTGAATCTCTGAATAGTTGATAGGGTTACAGGAGAGTCTGTCATTAGCATATAATACTGCATTAAAATCCCCTGCAATTAACCATGGACTTGTAATGTTTGGTGACATTTGCTGCAGATTATCCCATAAGGTTCTTCTTTGTTCTATACCATTAAAATCATAGACTACAGTAAGATCACAGTCTATATCTCCCCTTCTACTCCTCACTAGGCAATGAATCACTTGAGGATCATTATTAAGGTCAGTGACAATGAGTTGGTTGGTATCCCACAACAGCCATATGCTACCATTCCTAGCATCTTTATAATTTGTCAATAAGCCCCATCCAGGAACAATTGCTTTTGATATTCGTTGAGCATTTTCTTCTTTCACTTTGGTTTCTACAAGACCTAGTAACTTTATTTTATTGCTTCTAATATACTCCCTAACCTCCTTTTATTTATACCTTTTTTTACACCTCTAATATTCCAGAATAACCAATTCATTTATTGATTATTGCTTCCACCTCTATCCCCAGGTGGAATATGGATCTCATATTTACTATTAGATACTGCCTCAAATCTGTTTCTCACTGGGATGGGAGATAAAGGAGGGAAGTTGATGAGATTCAGTTCTGGACTTTGTACTCCTTTGCCTTTATCCTCCTGTCTTTCAGCTATAGGCACCACACTTTGTTGAACATTGCTTTCCTTAGGCTCCTGGACTTCAGTTACCATGTTGGTAGCAGCTTGTTGTGGCATATCAGCTGAGGCTACATCTTTCAGCACAGACACAGTAGGCATAGCAGCCTTAGTCCTCCATTCCTGTGTAATGATCTTATTAGTTTTTGTTTTCTTAGCTTGAAGAGGGTGTTGTGTCTCAGGTTTCACTTGGTTTGAACATTTGTGTCCTACCACCAAACACTTCTCACAATAAGCAGGCTTCTAATCATATGTGACACATTCTAGGAACTTCTTTCCAGTTGGATCCATCACCCAAATTTCACTTGGTAGTTCTGTGGTAACATTAACTTCAATAAGCATCCGAGCAAATGATACTCGAGTCTACTTAGTAGTGCACTCATCGGCAAATATAGGACGACCAATCACACTAGCAATCGTGCTCAATGATCCTACTCCCCAACAAGACATAGGTAACTTAGGAAATTTGACCCATAATGGAATAGCAGTAGGAAATTCTTCAGTGAAATCAAAATCAGGTTTCCATGGTTTTAGGATTATAGGCTTGTTATCTATTGAATAAGGACCAGCACACAGAATTTCATGAGCATCTTCAATGGTTTTAAATCTGATTATGTAGTATCCTTCATCATGGTAGAATAAATCTGGCTCAGGTACATGTGACCAATGCAAATTAATATATCTCTTCATCGCATTATACCCTGGTCCATCTCCTAAATTATAAGCAATCAAAGCACATTTCCACTTGTTTTCTTCCTCTTCCACCTCTACCTTGTCTAATTGAACCATAGGTTGTCCATCTACGATTTGCGGCGGGATATAAGATAGAGACATACCATTTGTAGCAAATCTATTCTTCTGAAATAAGGTTGCCCATGAAGCTTTGGGTTCTTCTGTCTTTTCTCTTACCACTTCTGTTTCAACTAGTTTCTCCGTTGTGCTTACTTGGATCTGAGCTGGTTTGTGCATGTTTACTGTTCCATTGGCTGGAACTATCGTAGTAGCTGAGATGGACCCAATTGACACTGGTGATGCTAGATCTAGCTTCTTAGAGATGTTAGGATGGCTCGAAGTGGAACCAATTTCACATGCAATACCCTCTTCAGTTGGATCTGTACTCTGAGACGGAGCTGGTGGTGTAGCTACTGGAGCTACTTTCTCCATCAATGGCTGATTTCCTATAGTCATTAAGTTTCCTAGAGTAGTTACGTGGGCGACCCCTTCCCCTGCCTCTTCCTTTCGCCATGGCTACACTACCGGCGTACATTTAACTAACGTGCGCCGAAAGCATTTTTCCAGTTTTTAACCGCAAAAAATAAGTCATTTTCTGGCAATCAAATACCAAAAAATATTTTCTTTTAGAAGGATAAAGAGTGACTTTCTTCACTTATGTTTCTCCGACTATAATCTATTCGAAATAATTTTAAATTTTAGAGTGTGAGAAAATAAAGGAATTAATTTACAAGGGGAACACCCTTTTATTTAACTTTTTTTTTAAATCCCTTCTGAGGAGCTCCGCAACTCAGTGTTGGAGGTGAAAGGTGCTTATCCCTTTTAACTTCACTATTTGAGTAAGGTCTACAAGAAATTGAAAAATAGCCTGATTTATAATTGGTAATTGAAAAATAGCCATAGTTTTAAAAGTAATCGAAAGTTAGCCAATTTCTCATATAAAGATAAAATCTGAACAAAAATACCTTTAAAAATTCGGATAAATTCGAATTTTTACATATGAGATTCTAGCATAATGTACCCGTATTTTATAATGTGCTGGAATTTCATAATGTTCTAGAGTTCCAACATAATATGATGGAAGTTTATACGCTGAAGCTCCACAATCAAGCATATTATGTTGCATATTTTCGTGTTTCAACTAATATAGTAGCTATTTTTCAATGACTTTACAAACACTGGCTATTTTTCGATTACTAGTCAAAAACTGACAAAGGGGGTGGGGGTGGGGGGTAGTGTGCGTGCGCTAGTACACAAGGAAGAAAAGGGGGGGAGTCATGAAACTCTTACAACTTCAAAAAGACCTAAATTTGCTGCCAATTTTCTATATTTTGGAATCATAAACCTTAAGATTGGAACCCTCTTCTTTTCAGCCCCATGGTAAGTCCACAGTATAACCACTTCTTTCAGATAGACGAAATCTCAACCAGAGGCAGATTTAGGATTTGGAGACATCGGGGATACCACTATCTTAATATAGTCATAATACATAACAATTACTAGCTACAAAGTTTAGCGTGTAACTCTCTTAAAACTTGATAATGATTAAGTGGCATGCCATGTGGCATCCACCGCATCAAATATCATTGCCACGTAGGATTGGGTGTTTACCTTGTACAAACTTAACAGAAGACGGGTATACTTGAACCAATAGTATTACGACAGGGGTATATTCGGACCTAAAGTATAACGAAGGATATATTTAAACCTTTCTCATAGTACATGGGTATATTTGACCCATTACCGTTTTTAATACAAATATAGGGTCTGAGAAGAAGTTACTGAGTTCACTAAATGTATAGTATAACATTATAGATCAGATCTGTATGCGCTCCTGATCTTCTTCTTTAGGTGCAGCACGCGTTAATTGATGGACAAAAGAAGCACTCTATGAAATAAAATTGAACCACTAGTTTTTTTCTTACATGGTAAAAGTTGAGAATGAAAATCTAACCTCGAACCACCAAAGGATGTGGTGCAGTGGATGGGACTGCTCCTCCCTTAATTAGAGGTCTCGAGTTCGAGCCTTGGGTATGGAAAAATCCGTTGGTAGGGAGCAAGGGCGGACCGTAGTGCAGTAGGACTATGGGGTTTCCCGGGAACCCGAGGTAACCTTTTTGGAAAAGTACCGAAAGAGGGGGGGGTAAATTGGTAATATTTTTAAACTTAATCTCTGTTAGTTGACTGGTTGTTCAATTAGTCGACTAGATGCAATAAACTAACAGTTGTAATAACAAAA